AATCATAAAAATTTATTATTATACTTTATTTAGTATTTGTAAGTAGCTAATTAAGTATTCTTATATGGTATATGTTACATTATTGATTCATTCAATCATAATTTCAAACTTCAACTATAATATTTCAGAACTTTTGGATCGTGAATCTCAGGTTTGTGAGCATTAGAATTACTATACACATGAAGAACTTAAAATCATATGGAAATTTTTATTTTTCCGAAGCACGGTTACACCTTCACATTACATTACCATCACTACATTTGTGCGAACAATTGGTTAAAGATAAAGCTTGAATCTAAGCAAACTTTATTGTTTTTACATTGCATAAGAACATGACCAATTGTTATACAAGATTAATATTGTTTTTAAAATGGTTGAATATCTAGACATACAATACTAAAATAAAAACTTTAAGTAATCAATGAATCATGAAGAAATTTTTAAAAATATGTTCTAATTAAATGCATAACAAAGAATTTATGTTTTCCCCGGCAATTACCTAGAACTAATGTGCTGGAACTTTTTGTATATAATGCTTCAGTCATTTTAAGTGTGAGAACTATCAACTCCCTTTTCTCTGCCCATAAAATTTTGGTCAAATGCTTTGACATTGTATATTAATTGTTCATCTGATGAGAGTTTGAACCAGGATATTACCTGAAATCCTGAATTATAGGTACCCTTAATTTTTTAAAGAGTAGACCATAATCAAAGTGATACAATTATTGTTCATAGGTAACGCGCAGTGGTTCGTTACATTCACAGCAGATGGAATACTCCTTGTATTAAAATTATCCATGAATACATGAACAAGATCTGAGAATCCTGTGCCAGAACATAGAAATGAACTTTTAGTATAAGTTATCACTGTAAAAATCAAATTGCACTAGCCAAATTTATTATAACTAACTTACCGGTGGCAACATGTTGATCTATGATAACGTGAGTATTTTCTTGAATGGCTCTGACGTTAAGAAGCAGGAAAAAAAGCATAGGCAAGTATTTGGAATTATATGATTATATTGCAGAGAAAAACAAAAAGCTATATCATATTGACTAAATTTGTTATGACTCATCGGTGGCAGCAGGAGCCCTAATGATAACTCAAATGTTGTTTCCTTGAAAGTTGCCAACCTTTTGTATGACGATTTTTATTCATTTTCATCAATCAATAAATCATCAGAGAAATTACTACTCTCCAACTGACTCTCCTCATTTCATAATCTAAGGTTTTTGGCTTTTATGTTGCCATGTATACTAATTTCCTTAAAGATAAGTCAAAAATAGAATTATTATTCCAATGGTAACGTAGAAGGAACTACTTCATGTTTAAAGCACAAAAAAAAGAGTAATTGGTGTACTGACAATAAACATTTTTTACAATCATTTGTATTGCAATTACAAGTTAATTACAAGTGATGAAAGAAAAGGATTTGTTTGCAGGATTGGGAAATAAGTAGTTTTATACTTTTATAGAGGTCACAGATCTGATCAAGTGATACGATGATGCAATCAGTTTCTGGGCGCAGTAGTCGACGAATTCAATCATATGATTTTATTTGATGGCCAGTACTCATGATGTATTCAGTTTTTACAAGTGTAACAAGTGTATACAGTCAAAGCTCGTCATAGTGAACTTTCCGTTCCACTATATAATTTTTTCCCCTTTTTTCACTATAACGAGATTTATTAAGAAAATTCACTGTATCGAGAGAAATTAATCATAAAGAAAAAAATCAATAGGTCACTATAACGCGATTTTACTTAATGTTCACTATAACGAGATTCACTATAGCGAGCTTTGACTGTATACAGTATCTATAGTTCACAAAAAAAGTAATCAGAATTACAAAAGGAGCAAAAAATAAAAAACCGTTGTTAAATGTGCAAACATTGTGTATATTAAGTCTCAGCCCTTTGTCTTACTTAGTTGTCTCTCAATCAATTTTTTAATTTGAAAAAAAAATCATTTAAAAATTTAAGAAATGAAAATTTCATAAAGATTTTAATATTGTGCTCAGAAATTAACAATATGCCTGTATATCCATAATAAAAAATTATAAACATAAAAGCATATTAGCATATCCATAATTAATTTACTAAAAAAATTTGTTGCTATTTTAATCAGTTAGTTTCAGTAAATTAAAATTAAAATTGACTCAAAAATCCTCAAAAATCAGTAAAATTTAGATAAATTTAACCACATTAGAATATTTGGATTAATAATTTTATTTGTATATTTTGAAAATTATTAATCTAAACATTAAATATATTTATAATAACTATTATATTTATTTTATTTTATGTTTAATTTTGAATTTTAGTTCTTTTAATGAAAATTAAGGGTAAAGGTCAGATTACGATCATCATGATGAAATTGATGAATCAATTTGCTCAACAACTAATGAATAATAGTGTCTAATTTTTTTTTAATGAAATTAACATGGTATAAACTCAAATCAAGTTTTAATAAACTGCAATTTTGAATGCTTTATGAAATTTATATATTCTTTACAGTTTAAATTTTTGACGATTTTTTTTTATTAAATTAAAAAATCGATTGAGAGATAACCAAGCAAGATAGAAGGTTGAAATTTAGTATACATAAGGTTTATATATTTGACAACAAATTTGCAAGATTTGAAGAAATTCTAATCACTAGTTTTTACACTTTTTGTAATTCTGATTAAATTCCGATTATTTTTTTCGCGAACTGTATATACCCTCACTTTCTCAAGTCTCAAACTACTTTCTCTAAAATTTCAAAATCCTACTTCTCTAAAAATTTTTTTTTTCTAAAAATTCATTTATTACATATACAGAATTATGTCCAAAGTAAAAGTGTTGTTAAATTGTCAGAATTGACAACTCAAGTCTCTTATTTATGATAAGAAAAAACAAATAATAAAATCTGATTATGACACTTTGAACCTTTGGAAGGTCAACATTGCTCCTGACGATATAGTTAGAGACAAGCTTGAATATGTTATTGAAGAAGAAATTAAAAATGACTTTAAAGGCAAGATGATGATATCTAGCTTCAACTTAGAGAAATATTTTCCAGTTACAGATAAGAAAGATGAGGATGATGACAATAACAATAATATCCACATCATCGTGCAATTTTCTGCTACTACTGGTAAGTGTCACCCAATATTTTACCTCTCAAACAAAAATCACCTGCTTAAACCCACCCAAAAAACACATCCGCGTTATTCAAGACAACCTGTTTCTATCATATAGATATTAATAAAACATTATTCAAATATAGATATTTTTTGGCAATCAATATTCACATGATGGGATGTGAATGCCTGAATTGCAAGGAGGATTAACGCAACGACGAAATGCAGTGTGTAATTGTCCCCTTTTCTCATATTCATTCGAAAAAGATTGAACTTCCTAGACAGAAAAAAGATGCTATGAAGTAATGTCTTCGGGTATGCATTCCAAAAATCTTTGATAGGGTAGCTATTTTTTTTCAGAAAACGTTACCATCAGTTAACACGGAAGTCAAATACCTGATTACTGCTGAGGATATCAATATGGAGATATCATAAATCACCTTTACTCAAAGCAGTAATATTTACAATGTGTAATTAACATGTAACAGGGGGCCTAAAAACAATATACTATTGAAATAACTCCCAGAGGATATTCTCGAAAAGCCAGGTTTTTCGTTGATTAAATCTAACAAAGCTATCACAGGTTATGAGCCGTGTGAAGAATGTGATATTTCTATTTTAACAGAAAAACCACCTAGATTGATCATTTTAAACGTTTGGTATGATATTATCTATCAGACTTGTGCGAAAGAACTGATAAAAAAGGAACGTTATATTGCTCATGTGGTATAGGTAATAATAGTGATCCATTATTGCCTCTATAAGATTTTGATGATGACGAGGTCATGACTTCTACAACTGTGGTCATTATCAACTTTTTATTATATTTTATTTGATATAACAGATATCAGCAACACTAGCAATACTTGTCAATCATTAAATATAATAATCACCGAATATTTCACCCTATTACTGATAGCAATTTGAAACTGAACTGACATGAGGCAGTTATGGTAAATGATTAACGAATTGAATTTTTATTTTTATTTTTTGTTTTTAAGTTTTTATAACACGTGATTATTCTTTATTCATCCAACTTTCCAATGGATTCTTTAAATTTTTGTAAAATTTTAATTGAGCCATTAATCTTTAATCTTTATTTCTTTAATTATAATTATATAAGGCAAATTGATCAAGAATTTAATAATAATAAATTATCCATGCAATTTCTACTTTCTGATTTTCATTTTCTCTATCCTTCTTTTCTTTGAAAAATGCAGAAATACCTAATGATATACTTTTGATGATACTAATTATAATTCTTTCTATATACAGTGATAATTGATAAATAAACCAACAAATAATGAATATTTAATAGAATTAATAATCCACAATCATGCAATCAAAACCCTGAGACTCTTCTTGAACTAAAATTTCAGTAAGTTTGCGACTTGTATAATATGCTTGTGAATGATATTGGATAGTAGAAGTATTTGTCTGTTTTTGCACTGAAAATTTGTTTGCTTCTACGAATTCTTCCATATCATTTTTTAATTGATTATCAATATTGGGTACTAAATATTTATAATTTCCATCCCTGTTTATTTCATAATATTCATTAGTACATCTAATCCATGCAGATATAATATTTTCAAGCATTATTATGGTTGGTCTATTGGAAGGATTTGAATCCCAACATTTTATCATTAAATCTACATAACATTTTGGAGTATTTTTCATAATTTTAGGACGTTTTCCTTCATAAACACTCAAAATAAAATGATGATCATGTGCTTCATGGTTGAATGGAGGAATACCTGATGTAAATTCCCACATTATCATCGAAAAGCTATAAATATCACTTGCTGGAGTATAGGGTTTTTTTCTTAATATTTCAGGCGCCATGTAAGGTAAAACTCCATAAATTTCATTAACTTTATTACCAGAATCTTGTAAATCACTTATAGGTTTGCATAATCCTAAATCAATAATAAATGACTCATTATAATTATCTGATATTAAAATGTTACCATCATGAAAATCACCATGAGTTAAATTTGATTCATGGATTACTTTAAGTCCTAATATTATTTTTTTCAATAATTGTAACTTTTCTTGCCAATTGAATTTAATTATATCAGATAAACATTTTCTCAAACTTCCTTTTTTTGCATAACTTATTACTATTATATAATTTAAATTATTTGGATCTTGGGTAATTCCAAAAAATTGAATAAATTTCGAAAATGACTTTTTCTGACAATTATAATGATATTTCCACTATGTAAATAACAAAAAAATTATTAAACTTTTGCACAAGGAAATAAAATTGGCTATTAAATATAAATACCTTACCTCATCCAGAAATTCACTATTTAAACTTGATGAATTATTAAGTGTTTTGAGAATAACCTCATAACATGCTTGTCTATTCCATTGTTGTTTGTCAAAATTCCAACTAAAAATAGGCCCATCTGACCAGATAGCTTTATGAATTTCACTAAATCCTCCTTTAGCATAATGATCAATACTTGATAAATTATTGTAAGGTATCCACTCCAAAATTTCATAACTATTTTTAGCATTTATTTGTGCTTCTTGAATAAATTTATCAATAAATTTATTTTTACTAGTCCA